TCCTTCCTTAACAAACAACCCAGAAGGATCCCCCTTTCAGCTGTGACTCCCCAGCAATTTGCCCCAGCGGGAAGTTTGCCACCTCACAAATTTGATTGCCCGGTGGGGAAGTCCAGGTTTTGTGGCCTGCAATTTGCCTTCAATCAGTGCCGGTTTTGATAGGGAATTTCCTGCCTTCACAGAGTTTCAGGGGCTGACGATTTATTCCCTCGATACAACTTTCTGACCCACTTCCCTAACTGATGAAGATTTTTGCCTTGTCAATGTCCTTCATTAACCAAGGTTTGGCACCTGCAACTTTGTTAGTTAATTAAGAGGGGTTTCACCTGTGCATTTCCCTAATGAATGAAGTTGTTTTGCATGTGCAGTTTTCCTAACCGAGGGGGTTTGCACCTGCAGTTGGCTTATTGATGCCCGGGGGGTTTGGCACCTGCACCTTTCTGGCACTCACCGAGTGTTTTGCTTTCCCCCTGGGAACTTCCTCCCATTTCTCAGGCGAGGGATTTCCTTCCTTCTGGAAGTTTGGGGGCTGGGAATTCCCTGCATTGTTCAGTCCTTTCCCTGCCCCCGCGTGGAGACCGAATTGGAAGCTGGCTGCCTCCCTGGGATTTGGATTCAGGACGACGGCTCTGCGACATCCCGGCAATATGGGCCCGAGGGGACTTGTGTGCCCCTCATCTGAGACCCGGCTCCCCAGCGCTGGATGGAGAAGGGCTTAGGGCTGAACAAGGAAACCGTCCGTCTCTTTAGCTAAGGGATCTGCTTCCCTTGCTCCACGCCCACCTCCGCACCCTCCGTTCTCGCCGAGCCAGAGTGAGTCGACAAGGAGGGGATGGTTTGGGGGGCTCCGGCTTCCTGCAGCCACTGGGGGGCATGTTGTGGGGCTTGATGAACATTTGCAAAGTTGATGTCGTCGTGCGCAGAGCCGGGATGCAGCGGTGGGAGGCCAGGAGACCCTACAATAACAAACGGGCCCAGCCACACCAATATACACCGGCGAGCCCATCCCCTCCGCTTGTGGGAGACGTTATAATCATAGGAAATACTTTAAAATCAACAAATGGTCTGGCAGCACTTTAAAGACTCACAAAGCATGGAGATGGGATCATGAGTTTTTGTGGGCGCAGCTCACTTCTTCAGATGGTCCGGTAATCTGAGGAAATAGGCTGTAGCCATGAAAGCTCATGGTAACATCTACATGTTTTGTGAGTCTTAAAAGTGCTACTCGACTATTTGTTGTTTTTAAAGTTTTTCCTGTTACAGACTAACTCGGCTACCCCTCTGAAAGATATAACAACAGACTGCCAATGCAGTCCTGGCAGAGACCCTACAATAACAAACCAGCATGTGTACCACCCTGTCCATACTGAGACACCATATAATAACAAAACCGGGTCATGTGCTATCATCTTTCCTGACAGACCCTATAAGAATAGGTTGATATTTATCACTTTAATGAAATTAAGTTAATAAAGTTAGGATTTTTTTTTAGTAATAAACATTTGGGCAGCTGGGAGGAGTTATGCACTGATATGTTATTGTAGGGTCTCACTTAGCTTGTTCTCTATTCTGGGAGTGCCTGGCCTTCATAGATGTGGTGTGTTATTGCAGGGTCTCCTGTGAATCCTAGGAGCTCTATGAGCTTGTCTGATTATTGTAGGGTCTTCTGGAATGCCTAGGCATTGTGCAGATTTGGTTTATGATTGTAGGGTCTCCAGGATGTGCTCAGGACTGTGCTTGCTTGGCTACTGGGAGACATGTGTATGTGCTTACAGCATGAGGGCAGACCTCATTCCTGGCATATTACCGAGCACACGTCTGCAGGGCTATTCCTCTCTGAGATGTGTAACCAGCCCACTCCATGCCAGCCCAGATCAGATCCACATGGGCCCATCTACCCTGGTATCCTACCTCCATCCCTATTAACATGTCTGCCCCAGGGAATGGCGCAAAAGGCCCCACAGTTGAGAACAGCTGAGTAGACACCGGCTCCTCTGTTTTCCCAGGAAAGACCACAGTTTTGAAACTCCCAGAACACAACAAAACGAAATTGAAATGTTCTGTGAAGTGAAATTCTGGAGGGGAGGGGGGGTGTCATTTTGGGTCGATCATGTTGCTCACATCGAACGGGGAGAACCCTGCAAATCCGCAGCGGGGATGGTTTTCATGGGGACGGATGCAGATTTTGCATCCCTGCAGGGTTCTCCTAATGTGGGCACGTGAACGTTTTCAACTTCATTCCTTCATATGGGAAAAGACAATGTTCAGCGGAAAAAGGGGACGTTCCACTGGAGAATTTCCATCTGCCCTAGAGATCACCCTGAAGCTCCAGTGGGAACCCTACCCCCCATCCCTCGTTTTCCCCCATACCAGATCTTTTCATAACACAGAACAGCGTCGGACCAGACACGTGGGTCGGGCTGGCTTGAGACGGTCACTGGGAATGAGACGTTAACACACATCCCCAAGTTTCTGGCCTGTGAATTTCCTCGCTTGTTTGTCCGCCACGTGATTTGATTTGTAACGAGGCCAAAGATGCTAAAGCACACGAAGGCCTCTGTGCCGGCGTGGGAAGGGGTTTGTGTTCAGTTGATTTTCCCGCAGAATGTTTGAATCTGATTTCTGGGAGCCGATATCGTTGGGTCTGAATATTTGCTTGTTTGGTTTTGTCCAGGGCAGGAAATCCGGATTGGCGAAGTCGGGTTCGGTCTCCCTGGGGAGCTGCGCTTGCGGTTTCTCAACCACCCTGCATGGCTTTTGTTCCCAGCCTGTCCCTGGGCATGGAGCTGTCCAGGGTGCTGGAATTAGCAGCCTTAGTTATTGTGTATGTTGCCAGCAAACATAAATCTACCTGAATTGCCCCCGTTAGTGTTGAACCTCTGTTGTGCACCCAAGCCCCATTTTGCTAGGTGCTGTGTATTCAAGTGCCATTTATTAAGTGTATTATGGTAACACCCAGGCGCTGCAGTCACCGCATAGGACCCCACTGTGCTATTTATTGCTGTTTATTAGGTGTATTACGGTTTTGGCCAGGATCCCAGCTGGAAAGGGTGGGCGCTTGGGCCTCCGGCCACCTGGGTTCTATTCCTACCTCCACCGACCTTGGGTGATCCTGCCTCAGTTTCCCCATTGGTACAATGGGGAGAATTGCGCTGCCCGGCTTGCCTGCAGGGCGGGAGAGGGGGAAGATGTTACAGAGGGCGCAGTGCCCAGATTCCGGGGTGATGGGCATCCTCGAGAGCTAGACAGCTCAGGGTCCACAGGCGTGCCAGCATGACTGTCGTCCTCCCTGTGCTCACTGGGTCTCTTCGCTGGCTGGAGGATCAGCAGGTGAAGGAGGCGTGGCCAGACAATTGTGATGTCATGGCTGCAGTGGTGGCTTTCTGTGATGTCACAGTGATGGCTCTGCCTCCCTCATTGCCTCGCCAGCCCTGGGGTCATCCTTTCTGAGCTCTGACATCACTGTGACATCACAGCCTGGGGATGGGCATTGCCGCTGACATCACAGGTGCTGATGCAGCAGACACCACCCAATCAGAGCCCTCTGACATCCCAGCCCCATTGCCCACCTGGATGATGGAGCCATGGGCTCGGCCATGACTGGAACCAGCCTGGAGTTTAACCTCTTAACAGCAGAGCCAATCGCTTTGCTGACAGCCTTTGTGGGAAATCATCACCCCCCCCGGTGACATCACACAGTGACATCACAGCCACAGACTCATTGCCCCATCAGCAGCGCCTGATGCAGTCCTGTGCCCGACCTCCCCTGCGGGTGTGGACCCTCATAGACTCACTAGCGTGTCAGCTGGTGCCCCCCTGGAGGGGACAGGCCCTGCCCCATTCTCCACCCCCCTGAGCCAGCTGGCCTCTGGGATTCTGCAGAAGGAGCTGGGCTGTCGCGCTGCTGTAGGTGCATTGAGACGGGATGTTGGGGGCTGAGCAGGGGGTCCAAGGAGAGAGAGGGGCTTGGGGGTCACATGAAGGAGCTCTGCATGTATGAGGCAGGGCTGGCGTTGGTCAGTGCTTGAAGGGGGGACCCCCAGAAAACCCAGCATGCTGCAGGGAGCAGGTTGGGAGCTCTCCCAGGCAGGCAGGGCTGGCCCCAATGCCCCGGTCCAGCACTAGGGGGCGCTGTTGTGCAGGCGACTGGATGCCAGGCTGCAGTCCCTTGCCCAATGTGTTCTCATGCTGCCCAGCGTCCGTGCCGGCTGCAGGTCCCCTGCCTGTCGTGTTCTCACGCCCCCGTGTCAGTGCCATGTTGGCACAGCTCTGGCACCGGGGACGGTGGCTTGGTCCTTGATCCCGTCCGTTCAAGAGCACAGCGTGTAACACAACACGCGTGATGATCCGGCCTCCGAGACCCGTCCATGCCCAGTTCTGGGTTGCTCAGTCCCAAAGGTGCTGACTTTTTTATGTTTGCTCATGAGAGCGCTGCCCTGAGGCCCCTCCCCCAACTCCGCCCCTTCCTCTGAGGCCCCGCCTCCAAATCGATCCCTTCCTCTGAGGCCCCGCCCTCGATCTTCCTCTTCCTGCTCCACCCCTACTCCCCAGAGGCTCCCGCCACCGGCCGAACAGCTCTGGTTGTTGGTGCTGGGTTCTCCGTGGCTGTTTGAAGCTCTTCCACCAGAGCCATTCCACCACTTGGTATTTGCCCTCCCAGGTGTAACTGCTCCGCTTGTCAGTGGCTGGCTCCGTCCCGGAAACCATCCCCCACGGCAGCTCTGCAGGTGGCGTCGGGTTGGTCTCCGAACGACAAATGTGGCCGCTGGACAC